TGATGTGGGGATGCTTCGACCTAAAGGTAGAAGGTGAAATGAACGATGCAAAGTATAGAAAATACTGGAACAACCTCAGACAGTCTGCATGAGAAATGAAACTTGGTAGAAGATTTGTTTTCCAGCAAGACAAAGAACCAAAGTACACGGCCAAAACTACACAGACACGGTTTAAAGACAACAAGATGAATGTTCTGGAGGTTGAGTCAGAGCCCAGACCTCAATACAACTGAGAATCTGTGGCTGGACTTGAAAAGGGCTGTTTACCGAGGGTCTCTACCTGACAGAGTTTGAACAGTTTCACAAAGAAGAATGAGGAAAAAATATCAGTGTTCAGATGTGAAAGGCTGATTGAGACCTATCCATACAGACTAAGATTAGCATTACTTTGCAGAAATGTCATTTCACTTTGACAATTTATTTTATTTTTGCAAATTCTAGACAAACTAAATTCAGCATGAGTCACTGGTGAAAAGAAACAAAAGTTTAGAAAAAAACAGGAAGAACTCCAATGGGGTGAATACTTTCTATGAGCACTGTAAGCTTTACACTGCAACTTTACAGGGTTTAAATCAAGGTTGACTTTTATTTTCTAGGTTTTCTTTTACATATTGTACACCCCAAGAAAGAAATCAAGTAACAAGGAAGGGAGAAATGATAATAAGTCGTATTTAAAAACAGCTTGCAGAGAAGCACGGTGTCAGAACATCCTGTTTCCTGCAGCGTCGGCAGTGTGACGCATAAAGTCAGACAGAAATGTGCCAACAGTGAATCAAACACGATCTTTACTCATCAATATGTTCCCCTCTGGGTGTTTGCACCACTTCTATCCTCATAGCAAACAATTTTTAAAAATGCATATATATCCAACAGCATGTGATCAGTGTCCAATGAAAACAAAGTGCCATCAATATTTAGTTTTTTCTTTTGTAGATTTATAAAACTGTTGTAGTTCAAATCATTTGAATATTAACTGCAATATCTAAAAAAAATGTGTTGTTGCTCAGCTGAAAATACCCTGATAGTAAACTGTTCTTACAGCATAAGTAAGTGGACAGTGTGTCATTACTGTGTCCAGCCACCACCATAGCTTTTTAAAACTATAAGCATAACATGAACATTTACCAAACGGTTTGCATCACACTGCAGTGCAATAAAAGGTCATTTGTGGGCAACTTCAACTCCTCCTAAACTGAAGCTGGTGCGTAAACTAACAATCACAACAGAGTGAAACCCGGCTGTAATAATATAAATGTGTCACTGCAGAGCAAGTGTGAGAGAAACAACAAAAACTCTGACCTGCATCAAATTTCTCATGCTTTGTTGTGGTTTTCTTTTCCATATGATAGGAAAAAATAGCTGTTTGTTATTTATTTTGCCTTCAGTTGTTCATTTGTTTCTCCTCTACATGTTGGACAGGTAGAGCTGCTGCGTCTCGTCCTGTCGGATCGAACAGAGCGTCAAAGTTCACATCACAGACAGTGATTCTGCTGCTTGTCTCGGCTCTGCTGGCTGCTGCTCTCATTGTTATCTACCGTCTCTGTGAGTTTGGAAAGTTTTTTTTTTAATGTAGTTTTGCTTAAAAACAATCATCTCTCTGAGTTTTTGTTCGTGCTACACTTCAAATTCACACACCCACTTGTTCCTCATTACTGACAAACTGTTCACTCAGACCTGCAGCAAAAGGCCATGGGCTGGATTGGAACCCATGGCTGCTGCGTTGGGGACTACAGCCTCTGTAACTGGTCGCATTCAGGAGAGTGCATGATGATCATTGAGCTGTTTTGGTGCCACTGTAACCGGCGCAGGCAGCTACTGTGTTAACCACATTTCTGCAGTTTCTTGGACCCAAACAAAATTCCAACAGACAACAACGCCCCTTATCATGTCAACCTTTATTAACAATGTTTTGTTTTTACTTTCATAAAAATGTTAAAAAATGAACTGATGAAATCAACAAAAGCTTTATTTTCTACAAACATGATCACTCTGACTTTTTCATTTAAATCAGCTTTTGACAACTGGCAAAAGAAGAAAACTCTCCAAACTCTGAAGGAGGAGAATGAAGCTCTACGCCAAATGCTCACAGGTCAGACTGTCAGGGTTTGAAACTGTCCAGAACGTTCGAGGCTTCTGTAACACTTCAACATGTGACTCGTTCTGCTTTAACTCTGCATTCTTTACAACCGTATTTAGCTCAACTGATGACAGACGTTCATCTATTTTCCAGTGATTTCTTTTCATGTTTGTGTTCAACATGTGACTCAAGTATGAAAAGGTTTTGGAGCTTCTCGGTTTACAAGTGAAGAGCACAAATAGGTGTTTTTTTTTATCCTCTTTCACAAACAGAAACACAACCAGACAGCACTGTGCAGCCGACAACTTCACAGCTTCCTGAAGTGACACCCTGTAAGGTTATGGGTTTGGCTTTTCTTTTTTTTTCCCCAACTGGAACTTGCATCTCAGAGGTTAGGGTCTTTGACGTCACTTAGCAGATACTCACACTGCAGTACTGAGATTCTGGCCCAAAGAGTCTCACCACAATGAAACACCTGATCAGTGGTGTTATGGACTTAAATTTACACCTACACTGATGGACTGACAGATCTATATCAGCTTAGATTTTACCTGCGCCTGTGAAGGACAATCACCTTGTTGCTTTTCTCTTATTGTCTCGATAAAAGCTTGAGCTCTGTATCCTCCAAACTGCTGCTGCCTCCAAATCACACACACGTCCACACTGACTTCTTGTCATCTCATCCAAGATGATCCGTGTCCAAAATGTGAAGAAGGCTGGGAGCACCACCGAGGAAGGTGCTACTACTTCACCACCAATAAATCACCCTGGGAAGAGAGCAGAAATGAATGTAGAGATAAAGGAGGAGACCTGGTGAAGATAGACGGCCAGGACGAACAAGTACAAAACACACTCTCTTGTATTTTCATCTTTACGTTTTACCATGTCAGCACTGAAAGTGTCAACTTTCCTGCTCAGACTTTCCTGGAGAGAAGACTGAGAGAAGCAATGATTGATAACACTGACAAGTTCTGGATCGGCCTGACAGACTCACAAGAAGAAGGCAGATGGTTGTGGGTGGACGGCTCACCGCTGGACACGAGGTTTGATTCTTCTTCAACATATTTATCTACCACCAGAAATCTCCATGCTTTTATTGAACCTGTTCTTCATCTCGTCCTAGTTTCTGGGGCTCCAACCAACCAGACAACTGGATATGGGAAGACCCTGACGGGGAGGACTGCGTGAGGATGGGGGAGAAAACTGGAGATGATGACCTGGAGTGTTGGTTCGATAAGTCCTGCAAAGTTCCTCACAAAAGTATTTGTGAGAAAAAAGAAAAAAGGGCCACGTGCGTCTAAAATTTAGTTTAGGTTATAAAGCAATCACGGTAGGCTCATTCTGCCTCAAATCACCGAAAGCCCCACATCTGACCATCTTCTTGACTGATTTTTTCTTAAAGTGGTGAATATTGATTGAGTTGACCAGGTGTGAAATCTGGGCTCCCAGGTTACATTGGTTGGTTAAAAATCCTTAAAGAGGGAAGGGATCGTGTCGATTTATACGTCAGCGTCTTCTTGCCAATGTTTGAAGGTCCATAACTAGAGGAATAATGTAGCTGGAGTCCTGAAACCTTGCATTCTCATCCATATGGACATCTAGTCTTCAGTGGTTCAGCCATGCTTAGATAGAATCATACAAACCAGTTATATGATGGTGTGAAGTTGCTCAAAAAATGTTATTTTTTCTCTCTACTCTAATACTCCAACACCCACAGTTGTTATAGTTTTCAACCTAAGAGGCTGAATTTCTCCTGTGATGGCACCAATTCTAAGTTACTAGTTAGTAAAAGGCATACTTTGAGAAAATATTGAAATTAGTTTTTTTTTTGCATTCCTGTCCAGTGTCAGGACAATCACTGAGCAGGTATGATGGTGACACCACTCCAACAGTGACCCAAACTGGAAGGACATTGTTAGTGGGTTTGAGGCTGCTGTTGGAGTGGGTTCAACATCACACCTGCTCAACGTAGGTTCAAATACTGCCCATAAATGCAAAACTGTATACCTCTGACTGACACCATACTCTACATTTTTAGAGCTCCCATTGGTGCCAATCAAAGGAAAAAATATCAGCATCTGAAAAATAAAGGTTTTATGTTTGGTGGAATATCAGAATAGAAGAAACGTGTAGACTTTTGGACCAACTGGTTTGTATTATTCATTCAGAGCAGGGTTGTACCATTGAAGACCAGACCTACATATCAATGAGCCTGCAAGGTTTTAGGACTCTTATCTGCACTATTTCTCAAGCCATGGCTCTTCAAACAATCTAGCGCAAAGAAAACGATGCAAAAATCAACATGATCCACCTACTTTAGGTTTGATTTAAATAAAAAGTTACGACACCTGCAAAAATGTAACACACTGGATTAACATACATTTGCAAAGAACTGACAAACATTAGATGGTCAGGCATGAAGTCTGGTTTTTTTTTTTCCAAATTTGGTGAATTGAGGTGGAATGACCCAGCGCAGCTTATGGAGCGATGCTGGTTTTGTAAAGCTACTGCCACAAATATTTAAACATTCCTTCCCAACCCTGTCTGTGTAGATTCTCAGTCGTCCAGCTCATGGTCGTCCTCAGTGCTTCAGTAGAAGGAAACTTTACTTCTTTTTGTGTCTTAGAAACATTTATAGAGAAAAACTGGCTTTTGCCTTTCGATTGTGACACCTGAGAGGGCGTAAAATTACTTTGGTTGTAGTTTTTAAACAGAGCTCAAGATCTTTGTGTGTCTATCACCTGTGCTTATGAAGTGATGAGGGTTCAAAAATACTGAAAGAAGTAAAGCAGATTTAAATGCAAAATTTCGACCCAGCCTTACGTACTTTAAGGGCATGCAACTGATGTAACTTCTACAGTTTATTGAGCCAAAAATGTTAATTCTGACACATTTGGATGAATTCATAATAAAAAATTATTTCACCTCAGTCGTTTTGAATGCACTGGTCTGTTGAAGTCGGATGATGTGGAAGACGCTGTATTTTAGTCTTACTTTGGGTTAAACTGCACCCAAAATCACCCAATCGGAAAGCAAAGGTGTAAACTATGATGATTAAACTTTATTTTTATTTCCATGACATGCAGCTACGTGTGGTTCATTGCGTCATCCATTTTCTCGTTAACTCACAAATAGAACTTTCCCTGATGAGTCATTTTTTCATATTTCAACTCACCCATAACCAAAGATGAATGACAAATATTACAGGTTCTGAATCAGTGACACCATGAGATGTAAACTTCTGGCTTTTATCGTTAATAGCTGTTAAGATGTTGTTTAAACAGCCGGAAATGTAAAAAAAAAAGAAGCTCAAAGTGGGTTGACGGGCAACAAAAAAAGTGTATCTCAGAAAGTATTTAACACAGAGAGATAAAAGTTCACAAATACCTTTATAAATATTCAGATTTTATGTGATAAGAATTTCAAGTAAATGAGAGCAAACTGACAAGAACTGTTCAATATATTGAACCTACAATCTTCATCCTTGTTGGTTAAATTGTGTTTAATATTGACAGTGGTTCTTCCTTTTAAACTAGCCTAAATTTAAATTTCTTATTTTTCCATCAACAATGGTATTCGTCGATGGGAACGTAACTGCTACAGGCTCAGCAGAAAACCTAATAAAGTGCTGTGAGTCATCCCTGAAGCGTTTCCATGGCGTTCCTCTGTGAGAGTCGGCGGTCATTCTGTGTGGCGGCTGTCGGTGCTGCAGCTAATCCAGGATCCACGATTTAAACCAGCTCCCTTCACTGACGCTGCTGCATTAATACAGCGATCAGTTCTTTGAGCAGTGACCTCTGTGAAGGGTGGGTTACCTGACGACTGCAGGACGGCTCCTACTGCGATCTCTGAAGCTCTCGGATGGCGAAGATTCTTACGATCATGGCCTCCATGATGGAGTCCTGCAGCGGGCTGGACGTGAACCACTGGCGGCTGCTGGGATAACAGCAGCCTTTTGGTTGAAGGTGGAACAGATTGCTGTGCCGCCTCACCGAATCAACGCTTCATGGAAGGAGAGAAAACGTAAATAAATCTACTGTTTGAAACCCTCGTTGAATACACAAAGCGTCATGCGCACCACTGACAGTGTCGACACAACTGTTGGAGGCTCTTGTACATTCTGGCTGCCGTCACGTACGCAGCATGACATGTTTGTAAGCTTCTCATCCAGACTTTCAAAATGTTTGTCATTCAAATGGAAACTTGTTCTGCTGCCACATCGTTGATGTTATAACGTCTGGATAACAGGGAACCAGATGAGTCTGTTCAGAGGAAAAATCTGTAAAATTGCTGCCAAAGTGACACCGTTTATGAAAGTAAGAAACTGAGAAAACAGGAAGAATCCTCTGCTGCCAGCTTTCTAACAGTTTGTAAATTTATCATATGTGGCTTTTGAAAATAATCTATGCCTAAAATAATTAAAATATTTAATCAGAATCCCAACAAAGTCGAGTCTGTCCTGTGCGGTCAGCTGCTCCGATGACACTGAGGCAACGCTGTTTACATACAAAGAAAAATCGATCAGCAGCTCGCACAGAAGCGAGTCAGGCATCATGCTAACGTGGTACATGGTGATGAAGGTAACTAACTGAGAAATAAGGGGTTTCAGGCAGATAGGCAGCAGAGCTTTCTTTGGGAGACAACAACTTTCTTTGCCGTGGACTTTGGGTTTTGTAAGTCTGCAGACCTTTAACATGCACAAAAACATGCAGATTTATGACACTTTGAAGGAAAAGCAAAACAAAAAGCAGAATAAGGGCTCCTTTCAAACTCAAAATGCGAGACACTCGCCACTTGGAGAGGTAGAACTCGTAGAGTCTAACCGGACAGCGAAGAGGGTTCTCTGGGTTTTCCAGCATCTCCAGGAAATCCTCTTCACTCTCGTTTTTCTTTCGTTTCTTAGCTGGAACGCCGTCTGCATCTGAGGACACACAAAAAACACACAAGAAATTCAATAACAGACCATGTATGTGACTATTACAGATAGAAATCCTGAAAGTTACATAATTGGCAGCCTCATAAAACAATAATTGATTAATCAGCAATACGAAACAAACTTAGTGGACCGCAGTCACATGACATAAACCACTCCAACAGCATTCGTCATGTGATCCGAGCCACTCTGCTGCTACTGACATCCAGTCAGCTCAGAGCGACACTGTTGTAGTGAACTTCTGTTTGCTAAACAGATGAAGCTCTGGTTAGTGAGCATTAAGCATCACAGAGGTCTTTGTCATGGTGCCCGTTGCCCACAATGCTCTCTGCTAGTAGTCCGAGTGACGCCTCCTCTGGTCTCTACAGTATTAAACAGTAAGAAGCTCCACCTGGTGGAACAACCAGGTACTACAGCTGATCGACGATACATTTTCTGTTGTTTCTGTTTTTCTATTTTTAATCAGTTAAATGATTAACAGCAATTAATCGATTCATGATTAATCAGTCACATCCCGAGAGACTATGATAATATATATTTTTTCAAAGTTATTTTTTTATTTGATAGTACAGTTGAGGGCTGCAGGGTGGCGCAGTTGGTAGCACTGTTGCCTCGCAGCAAGAAGGTTGCCGGTTCGCGTCCCGGTGGGGGCACCAGAATCTTTCTGCGTGGAGTTTGCATGTTCTCCCCGTGCAGCGTGGGTTCTCTCCGGGTTCTCCGGCTTCCTCCCACACAGTCCAAAAACATATTGAGGTTAATTGGTGATTCTAAATTGTCTGTAGGTGTGAATGTGAGTGTGCTTGGTTGTCTGTCTCTAAGTGTAGCCCTGTGATAGACTGGTTACCTGTCCAGGTGTGAACCTGCCTTCACCCTGAGTCAGCTGGGATAGACTCCAGCCCCCCATGACCCTAGTGAGGATTAAGCGGTGTATAGATAATGGATGGATAGTACAGTTGAGAGAGAGACAGGAAAGTGGGGGAGAAGAACAGGTAAAGGACCTGCAGGAAAGGGCCATGACCTCTGCGCCAGGGACTCTAGCCCCTGTACATGGGACGCCAGCTCACCCAGATGAGCGACACTATGACAACATACTTTAACGGACACTTTCATGCTATGTATTGGTAGAAGGTCAGAAGGTGTTGATGTGGTGGAACATGTTGATACCTGACTCTGCTTCTTTGGGCAGGTAAAGGCGCAGGACGTTGGTTTTGGTGTCGTTCGGGTTGGTTCTGGTGCAACGTTTGAGTCGCGCAAAGGACAGCTGGCGGTGCTGCTTCAGCGTGGTGAAGCCGAAGTATTTGCAGCAGAAGAAGATCAGAGTGTTGAGGAGGACCATGGGGGAGTACGCTCCCAGCTGCCTACAGTCCCACAGAAACTCCTCCTTCACCCGGGGCTGGACGTATCCTGGAGGGGGTAACAAACAGCTGATTAGAAAGAAAAAAAAAAGGCAGTAAGAGACGATGAGAAGACGACAAGGTGGACGGTAACCCACCGTTGGATGCGACTGACGGCTCGAAATGTTTCAGGAGTTTGGTGAGCTTTGTGGAGAACTTGTTGTAGATCGCGTCAGTGAAGATGTTCTCCCCTCGACCGTTTTCTAACAGATGCTACAGAGAACAAACGCAACAATTCAAACAAGCTGCATTTACAGCCAGCATTGCTCCCAGTAGACCACAAACAGAACAACACTGGTGCAACATCAACACGCTCTAACCTCTAATCAATATTACGTTCATTTAGAAGACTGTTCAATGTCATTTTTATCTAGAATCTAGAAGAATCTGTGTAAAATCAGTATTTTCAAAACCAGTATTTTCTGTGTGTGGAAGAATCTGGGCAACACTTGTTTTACCTCCACATAGAAGAATCTGCAACACATCAACAGCATCTGTCTTGTTTATTTTGTATTTTTCTACTCATGCCCTCACATTTCTGCTCTATCCCTGCTGTGGGATTAATAAAGCATTATCTGGTCTTATTTTATTTATAGTAAACTGAAAGCTGAAAAATAGATTTTATTAATCATCAGCTACTCACAGGGTTGTAACACCTGCTGCATTTCATTTTAAGGATAAAATGTCCAGATTTTTCAGTTCCTTTGGGACATGTGACTACAAATATCTGGATGTTCATTATGTAAACAAGTGGTTCTAAAATCCAACTGTTAGAAGAGAGTTCTGGTTTATTTCAATCTGGCATATTTTCCATTAATGTGGCCACCGCGGCTCTACGTGTCATGCTGATTTTTTACTGTTTGCCTTCGTTGGTAGAGATTCAGGGAACAGCGTTTAGCGGGACGTTTAAAACAACCACCCTGCAGCTACGTGAACCAATTTAAATGTTTATTTTCAGATCGACTAAAAGTAAACACATGAATTAGCTGCCTGATATGGGTCGATTACTTCTGTTTTCTGTACTTACCTGTTTCTACTAAAGACACAATTCTAACTCAAAATATGACAATGATATTTCAGTGTATTTGACAGTAAACCCATTATTTATCGAGTCCCATTCAGACACATGTTGACTATTTAGCTGCTTTTCAGGCTTTTCTGATACATACACTGAATAAAGATAATATAAAATATACAGGCTTTTGTTTTCCAGTACATTAAATCACACAAAGTGGACAAAAAGCTGGCAAACAAGATTTTTGAAAAAAGGAAATACATGTGGAACACCTCAGTGATATTGTGCCGTATCTGTGTATTTGTGTGTTTGTTGTCTTGCCTGTTGGATGCCGAGGCAGAGGTAGAACAGGTCGTCGGGGGTATACGGTTCTCCGTCTGGTTTTTTCACCTCCTTGATGAAGCGATAGAGGCCGTCGCTCAGGTCAACCGCAGAGCAGCGATGAATGTCCGCCTTCAGTCTGACAGGATGAGCTAAGAGACGGGAAAAAAAAAAAACGTTTCAGTGGATGTTGCTATCAAGCAGCACCTCTGTCAACAGCTGTTTGTTTGTCTGTTTATCAGCAGGATGATGCAAAAACTACCAGGACGATTTTCATGAAAAGCTGGCGGAGCGCTGAGGAACTGATGGTGTCTGCACTTTAAGCAACACAGCGCCACCGATGGGAGGAAGTTTTAAATCAAAGGGAACTGCTACGTGAGGCAGGTGTGTTAGAGACGAGCTAAACAGAGTTATTTATTCACTTTATTTCACCTTTATTTTGCCAGGTAAGTTAATTGAGAACTGGTTCTCATTTTCAATAACGACCTGGCTGAGATTCCCACACACTAAGTTGCAAACATAAATTGATTAGTGCAACGTTTCAGTCCCGGATCTTCATCAGACAAAAAATTAAAAATTAAAAAGTCCTAGACCTCGCCTGATGAAGCTTTACGACCAAAACGTTGCACTAATAAATTAGTTTTAAACTGCAAGGCTTTTTAACTTAATCAATCAGGGCACATGTCATTTATATACACACTCTTGGAAATAGAAGGAGGAACGTTTTAGGCGTTCCTCATCATTCGACACTGTGGAGGAACCTTTCGAGTTAAAAAAAAGCCACCGACAGCAGAGGAGTCTCACAGAAAACCCTTCAAAGAACCGTTTTGTGAGGTTTGGGGCTCCATTTTGAACTCTTTATCATCATTTTATTAAACTGTTTTACTGCCAAACATAAGAAAAATATTAACAGCTAGACGTTTTTCTACATTTAGGTTAACAAATAGTTCTGTACAGATTGTAAAAATAGTTCCGTGTTTGCATAAAAGAAAGCATTACGATCCTGTCAGTCTTGTCATTCTGATTATAGAGTTAACCTAATTTACTATAATATGCTATGTTTTGTGTTATATTTTATAAAATTCATGCAGGAACATCTTTTGAGTTGTTAGAGGTTATGTTAGAAAGCTCTTCTCTAAACTGAGCTGTTACCGGAACCTCACAACTAAACGAGGTTCTTTGAATCTCACCAGTTCTACTAATTCTAAGAAAGCAGCTGCAGAGTTTTTACCTGGCTCGTGATCCGGCTGGTGAGAGTCAAACAGTTCAGTTTAGGTGCTGATTTTTCATATTAAACTGTAATTTTTCTTCAAAGAAAAAAGCTCAAGTTTGCTTTTAATTGAAGTGGGAAAAAAAAGGAATAAAGACGGTGGAACGTACAGGAAACAGGGCCCGGGTTGGTTTGTGATTCTCTCCAGCGGATCCACCTCTTCCAGGCTTCGACTCCATACCGCTTCAGTTTGTGGCTTTTCTTGGGCGTGACCACAGAAGTGTCCCTTTGAGATGTTTCCTCTTCAGATTTCTTAGACTTCTGCAGCTTTAAGTCCTGAGACAGAGAGAAGAGTCGAGATCAGAGCACAGAAACGTGACGCTGCAGCTTCATAAACTGGCTGTGTTCTTACCTTGTTCTTACTGTGGACTTTCGCCGGAGTTGGTTGTAGCGGTGAAGGAGCACGGATCGGGGACATCGGTGAGTTCGGTGCGGGGCTGATGGAGCCGGGGCTGGCGACCGAGAACAAGTCCTCCTGGTCGTTGCAGGTGGTCGGATCGTCTGCATCCGCGTCGTCACAGTGGCTTCTGGTGGGATCTGAAATGAACCAGGATGGAAACATTCTTGAGTTCAGTCTTATTGTAAGAAAAACGTGTCCTTTCAGCCATGG